CGGCCCTGGTGCCCAGGTGAGTCCCAGGCCTGCTCCAGGCCGCCCCGCCCCCCGAGTCACAACCCCAGGGGCTTGGATCCCTCAGAGCAGGGTGGGAACCCTTTTCCCGCCACGGCCGTGTGGATATTTACAGCATCTGCGGGCCATACGGCATCGCCTGCTTAAAAGTGAGCCTGCTCTGTCCGGCCCAGCCTTCCATTAACCTGCCCCTGACGCTCTGGCCTCTCAGGCCTTCGGCGGCCCCCGGACGTCCCCACCCCCCGGACGTCCCCACCCTGCTCTAGCTGAACCCAGTGGCATCCCCTTGCGCTAGAATGAAGGCTGTGTCTGGCGATGTGACAGACTGAAGCACGTGCCTTTCCCTGGCTGACATCAGTTTACTGCCGTCAGAAGGCTCCCCTTGGCCAGGGTTTCCGAGCAGCTCGGAGCGGAGCCCAGGTGATGTTAGAAAGACGCTGTCCCCCATGGGGACAGCCCCCACTCTGACAGGACCTGGGCAGCGGGTTTGTGCTGCGGACCCTGTGTCCCCCCATCCCAGCCGCCTCCCAGGAGCTCATGATGCTCGTAGGCGCCAGACAAGCAGGACCTGGAGGTGGTTTCATAATAAATGAGAATAAACAGAAAAACACGCAATATCGCTGTTGCTCAGAGCACAACTCGATTCTGTCACCCGGGACACAGCCTCCAGCGACTGTCCCCAGGAAGCCCCTGCACAAAACCAGTCCGGACGGTCAGACTCCGAGCGCAGCTGAGCGAGGGCACCCAGGATGAGCGTGGGAGAGGAGCGGAGTCAGGGCTCCTGTGGCTCCCAATCCCGAGGGCAGTGGGGGCCTCCGATGCCAGCAGCGGGCGCCTGGCGGGCACCAGGGTCCCCGAGAACGCAGGGGAGCTGGGCGCGGGCCGGCTGCCTTGCTTGCGAAGGGGAGGAGCCACTTAGTGAATCCGGTAGAAGCTCCGGTGAGAGGGGCCACAGCCAGGCCTCCAAAGGCTGGTCCCTGTGTCCTGCGGGCGGGCTCTCCTGCCCGGGCTGCTTTCCTCACTCACGTAGCAGGTAGGGCCAGCGCACCCCTGCCCGCCGGCGGGACCCGTCACCCCGCGGCTGGAGCTAGGCTTCCGCTCCACCGGGCTTTCTTCACGGCCCAGGGGGCTCCATGGAGGACGAACTGAACAGGCCGCCCCCAGTTTCAACAGCCACCGGGAGGGCAGTGCGGACCAGAGGCGTGAGCCGTCCCGTCCAGCGCCGACCAGGGCGCCAGGCCTGGGACAGAGGGTGTCAGACCTCCCCCTGTCCCACACATTTCTGACCAGCCCTGACGTTTAAAACACCGTCCGACGATCCGCAGTGGCGGCAGGTGGGTCTCCAGACATCACGGCTCACGGTGAAGGTCACGCTGTGTTTGGGAAAAGGCTGAATGAAAGGTTCGTGAGAAACTGTGAAAGCTACATCCTGGTCGAATGCATTGACACTTGGCTCAGCAAACACGTTGGCAATATCACCAAATGCCCGGCTGTGACCGGCGAGAGCTCGGCATCCCAGCGAGCGGTGCCCTGTGGACGCCGTCTCCACTCCAGTAACATGTGGTAGACTCGCTCTAGGGCACGGCTTCCCCGTGCCTGGCGAGCGGCCCGGGCCTGCGGTGGCTGGCTGTGTGCCTGCTTGTCCACTTCAGATGGAACCAACCAGGGAGTCACATCTGGGAGAAAGGCCGCCTGTTTCCAAGGCTGGTCTACATGGCACACGCATCCATTTCTCCTTGTGATTTCTCTTCGTGGGATTCACCAGTAAAGGTTTGCACACATTTCACTCAGGTCTGACCAGGACCTGAGAGGTTAGTTCCCTGAATGAGCCTGGACCCATGCAGGCTCTGCTGTGCCCACTCAGCACATGTGTCCTCCCCACAAGCTCAGACCACGTGCAGACCCCGCTGTGAGCACTCAGCACACATGTCCCCTCCATGAGCCCGGACCCACGCAGACCCCGTGTGAGCACTCAGCACACGTGTCCTCTCCCTGAGCCCGGACCCACGCAGACCCCGTGTGAGCACTCAGCACGTGTGTCTTCCCCACAAGCCTGGACCCATGTAGACCCCGCTGTGAGCATTCAGCACACGTGTCCTCTCCCTGAGCCCGGACCTATGCAGACCCCGTGTGAGCACTCAGCACACGTGTCCTCTCCCTGAGCCCAGACCCACGCAGACCCCGTGTGAGCACTCAGCACACGTGTCCTCTCCCTGAGCCCAGACCCACGCAGACCCCGTGTGAGCACTCAGCACACGTGTCCTCTCCCTGAGCCCAGACCCACGCAGACCCCGTGTGAGCACTCAGCACACGTGTCCTCTCCCTGAGCCCAGACCCACGCAGACCCCGTGTGAGCACTCAGCACACGTGTCCTCGCCACGAGCCCAGCACACAACCTGGAGCAGGGCTCGTAGGTGTCACCCTTTTGACAGGGGCTTTTTTCAACAGTAATAAAGGAGTTGTTTATTTTTAAAATATAACAATTTTAATTATCTATACACCTAAGAAGGAAGCTTCAAAATACATTCAGCAAAAACGAGTAGAATGGTGTACCGCGCCAGCACGGCCAAGGGTGAGCCTGAGGAGAGGCGGTGAAGGATTCAAGAAGACAGACAAGAGAATGCAGCTGGGGCTGGTGGACCTCCTCTGTCTGGATGAGGACACAGACCCAGCCTGCAAGCCGATGCTTTATTTTATAGTCAGTAAAACAAGGGCAGATGAACACGTCTACAAATGTTCTCGTGTTGACAACACTGGCTGCACCTCCACAGCCCATTAGCTACTTGGGAAGGAATTAGGGAGGGCTACAAGGTCAGGCTTAATTGTGCTGGGAGAGCTCTGCCCTCCAGGCCGGGACTTGTTTGTGGCCCTGCCCCAGGTCAGCCCGAGGCTAATCCTATAGCTGCTCCGGGCAGAAGGGGAAGGAGAATGGACCGACTTAAAGTCACAGTCACGGAGTTCAGTGCTGCCCCTCAGCAGTGCAGGAAGCAGGAGGGCAGGACATCAGTAGGACACCGACTTGGAGCACAGCACTGTTGGATTCGACCTCGTTGGCATTGACGGACGGTTCTCCTAGCAAACAACGAAGTACACATGTTCTCTCAGTCCCCACAGAACATTCTGGAAGAGGGTGGTCTCTCTCGGCAAGGGGTCTCCCTCCCTGGACCACAAACAGGAGCTGACTCATCTCCAGACACACCAGCATCAGCGGGACCCGAGGATGTAACAGCCACACCCGCGCTGCAGTAGGCCTGGTCCCCGCCTCCAGGACGGGCTTCCCAGCCCCGGACACCCTCATCTGTTGTTTATTTCAGGGGTCCTCCCCACAGGAGTCGGGAGTTGGGAGGGAAGTCAGCCTTGATAGGCGACCCCGGAGATGGGGGAGACTGGCCAGCATCCCAGCTGGTGACCCGCCCAGCGAGGCTGAACCTGGGAGCCTGCGGCCAGGAGCTGTGCCCTCGCCTCCCTGTGTGACTGCCTCCTGTCGGTTGACTGTTCACACAGACTCAGTCATGTCTAGCTCCTCGCCAGCCCTGCCCCCAGCCCTGTGCCCCGCGTGACTCCAAGCGGCATTTCACACCTCCCGTTCTCACCTGTTCACATGCGTGTTGGCCCCTGGTGGGCGGGTGGCCCCGGGGACCTGGCGATGTCTTTAGCCATGAGACTCCACGCCTCCCTGTGCTCACACATGTGCAGGGAAGCGGGTGTGTTCACTGTCTACACTGAATCCGGCTCCCACAGGCGTGGCCGTGAGGTGCACATGGCACTCGCGATGACTGTGCTGGGAAGGCGGGTGCCGCTGGGACACACATGCCTCTCTCTCCAGACACCCAGGGGCCAGACTGTATCGTTTTTAATTGTGAGGAAGACTCCATGTGCCAGCTGTCCAGTCAGCAATGCTGTGGGGTCAGGATCCCAAAAGATCAGGCCCGTGAATGTGAGAATGAGCGCTCTGTCTGCTGCGGGGGCAGACGTCCTGGGCCGTCATCCCATGCTGCCTGGTCCCGGCGCCTTGACCGGAGAGGCCGTTCTCCATCCCCCTGGGCCCATGTCGGCGCCCCCTCCCCCCCATGACTGTCACGTGGGCTCGTGCCTGGTACAGACAAGGAGGTGGACAGGATGCCCGTGCAGGTGGCAGAGGGGCTTGTGTGTGAATAGGTGGGTCTCCTGAGTGTTTTTTGTGTTTTTTTTGAGAAAAGCTTAGCTGCCTGTGAGGATGAGACCATAGCAATGGGCCTGGAAGGACCTAGAAGATTCTAGAATCCACTCCAAACATTCACACTTCCCTGTCAGGGACATAAGAGAAGAGAAATGAAGCTCCCAGCTGGTTGCCTACCCACGCTGAGCAGACAGACCCCCTGCCCCTGGTCTCGGTGAGAACCAGGACTGACGACGCTCACCATAGCCGAGCAGTGCTCTGGAGGCGCGGTGGCACTCACTTTATTCTCGCTTTCCTTGTAGTGATCTCATGTGGAAGCCTGTCCTTCCCCCCCAACGGCAACAAGATCGGGACACTGACCGTGTACGGGGCCACGGCCATATTCACGTGCAACACGGGCTACACGCTGGTGGGGTCCCACGTGAGAGAGTGCCTGGCGAGCGGGCTGTGGAGCGGCGCTGAGACGCGGTGCCTGGGTACGTGTCCGCCCCCCCACCCCCACTCCTGTGGCACTCAGTGACCTGGGGAGTAGAGGGAGGCCCCCCACCACCCCGGAGCGGAGACCCCCCACTGTGAGGGCTCAGCCATCGGCCACTCCGCCCAGCCCGGGCTCCGGCTGTGCTCACTGAGTGAGGCTCACACAGGCACGTTCTCACCTCTGACCATACGTGTGGCCTCCACCCAGCGCTCAGATGTGAGGAAGGTGCCCTGAGCGATGGAAACACTTCGCAGGTCACTGGGGCTAGCCCTGTGCTCAGGATTTAGGGCGCGTGGAAATGAATTTCAAATGTGCGCCTTTAAGAATTATAAATTACATCAGCAGGTTACAGGGACGTCCCTGTCACCCAGTGTGAGCACAGGGGGTTGTTTAAAATGGCAGGTGTGTGCCATGACTTGGTCTTCTTTTCCCAAGATGAGAAATGTCGGCAGGATGATGTTTAAACTGAGCTGCACACCCTTCCCTGGGGAAGCCTTCCCGGTGACTGTAACCTTGTGACCACGCAGCGTGGAGTCGGGGTCTCTGAGGCTCCCTGTGGGTCTCCGCGAGCTGAGGGGAGGGGTGAGCTGCCTGCAGACCCCGCGATCTCCGTGACGTTCAGTCACGTGAGCCACAGAGGCTGAGAGTTTGAGCCTCTGGCTGTCCGTGGCTGGGACACGGTGGGGGCGCTGTGAATGGTATAAATATGTGCTTTTCACTCCGGAGAACTTGTAGAAAGACCCGGAATTGGAAGACAGGATGGAAGGAAAGTAGGTGGTGATGCCAGAGAGCAGCCACAAGAGAAAGACAGCTTCGGTGTCGGGAAATGACACTGTCGTCTCTAATTTCCAGAAGGAGACGAGGGATTCTTGAACCCTGTGTGCGGGTCCAGACCAGGGATGGGGGCCTTTTCCCTGCCAAGGGCCACTTGGGTGTTTACAACGTCATTCCCAGGCCGTGTGAAATGACCCACATAAAAGGAGCCCGCCCTGTTGGGTCAAACATTAATTAACTCGTGCTTACTGCCTTGGCGGGGCCAGACCAGATGGTTTCACAGGCCTCATGTGGCCCGCGGGCCAACGTTCCCCGCTCCTGGTCTGTGCGTTCTTGTTGGGCCAGATGCCCCACCACCACCCCCAGTCTATGCATTCTTATTGGGTGCCGTCATTATAGCGCTCAGGACAGTGGCCTTCCCTGGGACTGCGTGTGGTGCCCCGCAGTCGGGATGGCCGTGGCTCTGGGATTGTCTGCGCATGCCTACATGTTCCCATGACATCATCCGTTCACTGAGCAGCGCTCTCCTCAGCGTGGCTACAGGCTGGGTGGGTCTCCTCTGTCGGCTGCAGTGCCCTGGCCCGGGACGGAGAAGGGGTCTGGGGTCTAGGAAATGTGCATCTGCACTATCAGCTGTAATGATGGAGAGAAACAAAGTTCAATTCCAGCAGAGCCTTCGCTGCGGACACAACACCTGTCCATCGCCACGGTGACTGGGATGCAGGTGAGGCAGAGGCTGTGGCCTCGGGGAGTTTAAGCCACACAGTCAGTTTGCAAACCTGTTAGATCGTGGCTTCCCCTCGAGTATTACTGACCCCAAAGACTCCTTTGCCTGTTTTGTTTTGTGTTTAATATATTTTCATTGATTTTAGAGAGGAAGGGGAAGGGGGAGAGAGAAAACATCAATGATGAGAGAGAATCATTGACCGGCTGCCTCCTACATGCCCCCCACCGGAGATCGAGCCCACAACCCAGGCATGTGCCCTGATTGGGAATTAAACCTGTGACCTCCTGTTCATTGGTCAACGCTCAACCACGGAGCCACACCCGCCGGGCTTCTCTGCCTTTTGTGGTGTCTGCCTGCGGGTTAGGCTCTGGAAGGGTGAGGTGTGTATTGAGTCGTCTTGACCTCAATGGGATGGACGCTACAGATCTTAGAAGCTTTGGCAGAGGGAGTGCTCAGAGGCACTTAAACTGAAAATGAAGAGGAAGCAGAGTGCCCATGTTGGCACGGAGAACCATCGGTGTTGTGGAACTTGCACACAGCATGTAAGCGACAGTAATATCGAAGGAGGCACGGGGTAGTTAAAAGACAAAAATTAGAAAGAATGAGAAGTGACACATGACCACACGTTTAGAAACCGATGAGCAAAAAGAATGGGTAATACATTTAGTATAAATATTTTATGAGTAACAATATTTTAAAAGTAAATATAGCATCACGGCGGCCGCTGAGATCGCGGCGTCAAGATTCACAGTGCCACGGGTGAGGGCCATTCCGGTCTCTCCCAAACGACAGGTTGCTCGTGGGTCGGTGACCAAGTGTCACCAGCAAACAGGCGCACGGAAGCAGAATGGGAATGTGGGGGAAGGCGGGGGGCGGGGGAGGGCAGTGACGTGCCGTGAGGGCGGAGAAGACTCCAAAGTGCTCCGAAGACAGAGGGAGAGAAGCTCCCACCCCAAATCTGCAGGAGAGTTGATAGAGCGGACGAGGGCCCTCCCGCCGCCGTGCCCCAGGATTAACCGGACGCTTCCTGGGCCACAGAAATGGTGAGCAGCGCTGGGTGCTGATGCCAGACAGCGCACACGGCAGTCTTGAGTTTTGTCTGTGGAATCCCCTCAGAGCGACGGGAAGGGCTTGTTATTCCCGTTTACAGATGAGAGAAACCTTTGAGCGAGGAGGACGAGTTTGCCCAACATCGCGAAGAAGAGAAACGCCCCCCACAGGGTAAGCGCAGGCAGTGGATCCACAGAACAGGCTCTGGGCTGGGGTTTGACTAGGGGGGCGAGTGTCCTGCTGCGCTGCCAGCACCTTTCTCTCGGAGGAAGATGGAGGAAGGCGGCTGTGCGCCATCACGCCCCCTCGGGCCAGTGGGTGGCCATGCTGGGGAGCAGGTGGGGGGCCCTAGCGCCAGGCTGCACCCCATGGCCGGTGCCCGCAGGGGCTTTGTGCCCAGGCCTCCCACTGGGCGGAGTTGCGTCCTTCATCCCACGCCACCCCCAGGCCTCCTTACCCATCTTGCCCTCCTCCCGTGTCTTGTCATTTCCACTCTCTCTCTTTTTCCCATGGTTACGAGTCTCTTGAAAATGGCTCTGGGTTTCCGTCACGCTAAATGACCTTGGGCGACCTTCAGGCTTGGCTGGACCCTGAGAGGGTCAACCACCTCGTCGCGGAGGGAGCGTGGCGTGTACGGCCATGGAGGCAGAGGGAGAGGAGATCGTCTAAGAATCCAGAAAGCAGCCGAGAGAAACCCGCGGCTCCGTTCTACCAGAGCTGCCCCCTCAGTCAAACCAAACAACCCAGGCTGACTCGGACAAGCAAGTCCCCCCAAGGAAGAGGGGGTGGGGCGTTGCCCGAGAAAGAGACCGTCCCCGATGGCCTGCTCTGACCTCGATGGGCATCGGAGCAGCTGCCAGGATATGGTTAAGAGAAAGAAGGAGTGGAAGGCGCGTGCCCTCCAGGACAGAGTCACCAGGAGCTAGAAACAGTGATGGAGTGGCGGCCGTGAGGGAGGGCTGCGTCCAGGGTGTTTGAATAAGACCCGGTTCTGCTCCCTGGAGTTGTGTGGAAATAGCGGATGGCGAATGCTGCCTCTTCACGTTGCCTTTCCTGCAGAAGGAATCCTTGCAGCCGCATAGGCTGCAGTGCGCTCGCTGCTGGAAGCTGGGGCTCCGAGAAAGGGAAGTGTCCCGGGACCTGAGTCTCAGGAGAGAGACACAGGGGCTGGCCCGGCGCCCGGGGACGGTGTGCACAGGCCGCGCCCGGAGCTGGACAGACCCCCGCGCGGTTCTCATGCACGAAGGAGAGGAGCGTGGGCGGGAGGGGCTCGCTGATCCCCCACACACAGCAGATCAGCAGGCCTCGGCATCAGCGCTTTGCTGCCGTGGGTCTAGGAAGAGCTGACGTTCCACAGGGGGGCCCCGTCTGGGGCCCCTGGTCTGTGTGACATGCTCTCAGGGGGCGTGTGGAAACTCTCTTCAGGAAGGTGTGGTCCGGGCTATCCATGCGACTCACAGTCCCATGTGGGTGGGCTGTGGGTCGCCTCTTTCCAACCCCCTGAGGGGCTCGATGCACGTGATGATGACTGTGGATCCAGGGGGCTTGGCAAAGAGATCCCCTCACTCCAGACCTTCCCGAAGCGTCACTCACCTCTGGGAGAGGGCGTGAGGCCGAGCAGCGGGAAGAGTGAGTCAGAATTGGTGACAGATTCGGGACAGTCCGTGTGAAGGGTGCCAGCCACGTGAGGAAGTGACGGGTGAGCGTGGGTGACAGAGCAGATCTTCCCGCGTGTCATGAGGAGGGACAGTCAGGACGCCACCGCCTAGGACGGCTGGGGGGTCTGTGCCCCGAGGCGGCTCCGACCCGGTGCTGCCCTGCCCCCGAGCGGGGCCCGGCCTGTCCTCTGTTGGCCGGGGAAGGCCGCCCCGGTGAGGGGGGCTGTCTGCGCGGTGGTTCCCCGGGCTGTGGAACGGGCTCCCCTCTGTGCTCAGGGGCCTGGTCGCCATGGAGGTGGCAGAGTGGAGGGTGCAGACACGTGTGACCATCAGTCCGCGGAGAGCAAGGTCAGGAAGTGACTTCTGAGTTGTGTCCGGTGCTTAGGCTGCTGCCGGGAGAGGGGGGGACGAGCGGGGTGGCCGGCTGTGCTCCATGCTGGCCCAGCCCCGAGAGCAGGCAGTGCCCCCCGCGCCTGGGGCCCTGTGGGTCCTTTTCTAAAAAACCCCTGAGGAGGGAGGACGATCACATGAACCCGGGCCCCTCCCCGGCGTCCTGCCCACACCCTCGCGGCCCGCTGCGCCGGCGCTCCCGGGGAAGGGGGCCCCTGGTCGCTGGGGAGACGGGTTCTCGGGCCTCGGAGCGGCCTGCGCAGAGCATTGATGGATTTGACTAATTGAGTTTGTGTGATATTTTGTTTCTAAGCCTGGGCTGGTCTCCTCTGGATTTCTCTTCCCGTCATTTTCTTCCTTTCCCCAGTCAGCAGGCTCTCTTACCCCCTTGCTCCTGTCTGTGCTCAGGGGAATAAGGGACTGCACCCACGGAGTGGACGATGCAGAGCCGAGCGGGGGTGCGCCAGGCGGGAGCCGGAGATGAAGACAGCCCCCCCCGACCAGGAGATGGGGGACTTCGTCCTAGAGCCCTGCGTCTGAGACTTTAAAAATAAATAACATTTTGGCTGGCAGCCTGTGTCCTGCAGGCCTGGGGGCGCCTCTCTCGGGGTTTCGGGCGCCGAGTGCGGCCACGTGCCCCTCCCGCTCCATCTCATTCTCTCCATGTTAGACCCTCAGCTCCCTTCGCTCTGTGATTGCGTCTCATTCTCCATGGAGTCTCCGGCCCCCAGAACATTGCTGGGCTGTGGCCGGTCGTCATTCAATCTTTGTCGGGTAAATGGCAGTCACCTTGGAGAGAACGGCTTAGAAATGCTCGAGAACAGGAAGGCCGTCGCCGAGAGCGTGAAATTACTCTACGTCTGCTCCCTCCCTGGCGTTCCACGGGTGACGGGTGGGTGTCAGACACGGGCAGAGGCGTGAATATAGGCCCATGGTGTCTTCGGGAGACGCAGAGCAGTGCTTTCTGCGTGGGGCGTCTACAGCCAAACCAGGGCTAGAGGAAGAGTTTAAACAGACCAGGACATAGCGTGACAGGGTCACCGAAGAGCAGGATCTGACGTGCCAGGCGGAGCTCAGAGGCTTGGGGCCACACTGCAGGCCGGGCTGTGGGCGCCCCCGGCACTGGGCGGTCACCGAGATGCTGGCTAATGCTGTGAGCGAGACTGGAAATGCTGTATCTGTGAGTAGCCTCTGCTTGGTCGAAGGCAGCGGTTTTCGCCCCGTGGCCACAAGCACGTTTATACCACCGTGCGACGCCTGCCTGTTCGGTAGGGCCCGGAGCTCTGCCCCGAGATTGCCAAATAGGGAAGTGACACCAGCCGGCCGCCAGCAGCCCCCGGTGCGAAGGGCTCGGAAGTGCACCTGTTTGGTTGTCAGGTCGGCAAAAGAGATGCTATTTGGAGTGCGGGGCGTCTTAGGGATGAGTGAGGGCGGGGGGGAGGAAGTTGGCAGTCACTGGTCTGAGTGTTTTAAAAGGAATGCAGCTGAGGGCTGGAGCGACACCTCGGAGACGGGTCAGGAGGCTGGCAGCGCGGCCAGGCCGGGGTCTCCGTCCTGCTCCATCCATCCATGCGTCCGTCCGTCAGCCCCAGGAGAGCTGACACCCTGGGCCTCCTTCCCGGCTCCGCTCTCCGCTGCCGTCCACTCCGTCCGTCAGCCCCAGGAGAGTGAAACACCTCAGGCCTCCTTCCCGGCTCCGCTGGCCGCCATGGGCGCGGACTGGACACCAGTCATCTTCTCACATCTCAGACCCTTCCTGCCACGGGTCTTCCCTCCCCCGACTGCTCACCTGCACCCGATTCATCTCGGGCGTCTCCTCTCCCCCGAGCGGGGCCACCTGCAGCCTCACCCCCTCTGGGCTTGTTTCCCGTGAATCTGCTCGGGGCGGACACTCCCTCCCCTGCGCCCAGAGGTCACTTGTCCACTGGCCACACCTGCTGTCACCTGGACGTTGGCCCAGGCTGTCCGTGTCTGAAATGGAACCGATGTTGTGACCCTGTCTGTCTGTTGAAATCTTGCATAACGTTTAGCAATCCCTGGCCTGGGAATCCTTGTCCTCGGCCATCTCTTTAAGGCCCGTTTTCCGTGGGTCCGAGCCTGTTCACGTGGAGCCCATGGCCCTTCCTCTCTGTGGCTGCATTTTCAAACAGAAGGACAAGGTCACATGGACTTCAGACAAGGACAGTGGGTAACATGACTAACTCAGAAACCCATAGCTGGGGGGTGACCCATCGACAACTACATCTCAGAGATATTACTTCTGTCGCCCACAGTCGTTGAGAAAAACAAACACGTTAAAAACAAAACTATATCCAAGAAACATGAAATGGGAAACGCTGAGTACATTACACCCCTGATGCTGTCATCCACTGACCATGAAAGTCAACAAACGTGAATGTAGTGCTTTTAGCAAAGACGGATTTGGGCCTCGTCCCGGCTGGTAGAGCACCAACCTATGAACCAGGAGGTCACAGTTTGATTCCCAGCTGGGGCACCTGCCCGGGTTGCGGGCTTGATGCCCAGTGTGGGGCACTCAGGAGGCAGCCAATCCATGATTCTCTCTCATCATGGATGTCTCTATTTCCTTCTCCCTCTCTCTCTGAAATCAACACAAATATATTTAATAAACAAACAAACAAACAAATAAATGTTTAAAAGACAGAGTCTCCAGAACATGGGTGTGGGTTTTCTCGCCCCTGCAGCTGGCCACTGCGGCTCCCCGGACCCCATCGTGAACGGCCACATCAGCGGAGATGGCTTCAGCTACAGGGACACCGTGGTATACCAGTGCCACGCCGGCTTCCGGCTGGTGGGCACCTCCGTGCGGATATGCCTGCAGGATCACAAGTGGTCGGGGCAGACCCCGGTGTGTGTGGGTGAGTTCGCTGTCCCGGGCCGGCCGGCGCTGCACCAGGCCTTTTGGGTTTAAGTCAGGGTGCAGAGGTGGGTAATCTTCTGAGCGGAATGAATGGAGAAATCTCCTGAAGCAGACCATCCAGCTCTCTCCCCTCTTTCCTTCCCGATGCTGTCCCTGCTCTGTGTCCTTCCCCTGCCTCCTCGGGCTCCTGTCCACAAGGTACTGGCTCCTCCACTCCCCGGACATGGGTCCCAGGATGCTGAGGGCCATGTGCACCTCCTGTCCCCACCTCCCGGCAAATGTGGACACAGAGGCTGAGCCTGTAGCTCCGGCTGTCTCTGCCGGGTCCCCACACAGCCCCACCCCCTCTATCTGTGGGTGGTTTTGTGTGTTTGTCATCCATTCATCAAGAATACAGGGCGCAGTCCTTTTTTTAATAGAAAGACGTGAATTGTATGTAATGATAGTCCTCAGACATGATAACCTCACAGGTAAATATTGACTCGTACGTGTAGAAGAGATTGCACCCTCACTGCAGTTTGTTTTAAACCATTTTCCCCTAACATATTCTTTATTAAAGGGCATGTTGATGTAACCACAGCGAGGTGGCAGGCATTATCTGAGAGAGTGCAGAGGGCAAAAGCTTCTCTTGGAAGAAAACATTGTTGACAAGATAAAAGGGGAGAAAACACCAGTTTTCGGGCTGGAACGCGGCCTTTGAAAGGCTCTTTGTGCTCCTGTGACTCGGGGCCTGATGTAATGACAGCTTTCTGCAGCCCACAGAACCACACAATGGGCTGGTCAGAGACGACGCTATTGGAGCTTGCGCACTTTTCTCTCCCTTTTCTTTTTTGGCCAATTTCATGATGTTTAAATTGATATTGGATTAATTTATCCACACACAATTTAAAGCATCAGACAAGTCCCTATAATATTGCAAAATGAGAGTTCCACCAAATTAGCTGGTGTTCAAAGGGGAAAACAGTCAAAACTGAGTGCAAGAATTTTAGCATCTCGTGTTTTCACTGCCGCCTTTGAAAATTACTTGTTATGCTGTCAGAATGTGAGCTAGAAATAGTAATTATTATGATTGTGGAGAAGGTACATTTCTCTCATGTGTTTTCCAGAATTACTATAATAAAACCTGCGGGCTCAGCCCGCGGGGCTGTCCCAATATTTCCTTCTGAGAGAATGTGGGACGTGTGCCATCAGTTCACACCCTGGAATCCACACCCTCCACACCTGCATGTGTGTCAGTGATGTGATGACTTGCTGGTTGGCGATGGTGACGGGGACCTGTCTCCCTCTGCAGCCATCACCTGTGGGCACCCTGGGAACCCCGCCCACGGGCTCACCAACGGCAGCCAGTTCAACCTGAACGATGTGGTGAACTTCACCTGCAACACGGGCTACGTGCTGCAGGGGGCGCTGCAGGCCCAGTGTCGGAGCAACGGCCAGTGGAGCAGCCCCCTGCCCACCTGTCGAGGTAGGAAATGGAGGGGGAAGCCTGCCCTGGAAGGGCTTCCCGTCGCTGGAAACGCTCCTGAGAGCAAGGACCAGGTCCCTCCCGGCCTGTGTCTGGCTGTGGGACAGGCAGGCAACCAGAAAAAAACTGGGGTTCTCTACTTTAAGGACAACGCACCTCCCATTTCTCTTCATATTCACACGCTCCCCCGCTTGCCGCTACCACATCTTTTCGGCACCTCTGTGCCCTCAGGCTTCTAGACGTATGGGGCGTTTCTGTTTCTTGAAGAAATTCTTCTTGCTTTTAAATCTTCATTTCTCTAAAAATTGTCACAAAGATCTAGGCAACAGTCTGAGTTTCCGAACACTTGCTGTTTTGTAGTTTTGTGTTTCTAGATGTTTGAGCTCATAACATTGAAGGTTTCAACTTCAATTATTTCCCATTAAAACACCCCTGATGGAAGGTGAGTCATACGTGAGCGGGAAGGTGCGGTTTGTTTCATGGTAGTGACACGGGATGAAAGCCGGGGGCTCATGAACTACCCTTGACACCCACCCACCTCCCCCAGGGCTCCCAAGGGAGCTTTGTTCAAAGGAGACAAAGCCGAAAGGGAGCCCAGCGATGTTATTATAGTGGCAGCCGTGTGACGTTGGCTACAAGCCATGGAGTTCTGGCCCCAGTGTGCCGCCCAGTGCCTGCTTCAGCTCAGAGACCAGGTACAGCCTCCCAACCCCACGGCCCAGGAAGCAGGCTGCCAGGGCCAGGATGTCCAGGGAGGAAGCAGAGGCACCGGGGAAACTCGGGCACTCACTGACGCAGCCCAGAGCAGAGGGGCGCCCTTGGGTGACAGGGAGGAGCTGGATGCAGCCAGACCTGCCACTGTCCTGAGGGCAGCATTTCCGGCCGTGGCAGCAGTGCCGGGCCAGCCAGCACCCAGGGAGACCTTACTGTTTTAAAAAAGGAAACAGGTCACTTTCCCTCCCAAACTACAGCCTTTCTCTTCCTGTTCCTCATTTCTTCTTCCGTGTCCCTGAGCATTAAGGAACACGGGCCTATTGTGCTGAGCGAGGGCTCACATTGTTATTCCACATTGACTTCCTGGGCCAGAGATCTGTGGAGAGGGTGCCGTCTCCACAGCAGCAGCTGCCTCATCCATACCAGGTGGGATCAGAGGACGATATAATTGGGGACTTTCTTTCCCCCTGCACCTATGGGTACACATTGCACATCCCTCCTGATGCCAGCAGATTCAGGCTGCCAGAGAGCCATTCACACCCATCAGGGTGCCATTCACACCACCCAAGGCACCATTCATCCACCCCAGAGCTCCATTCACACCACTCAACATGCCATTCACACTTCACAGAGCACCATTCACACCCAACAGGGTGCCATTCACACCACCCAAGGCACCAGTCACACCCTCCAGGGTGTCATTCACACACCCCAGGGTGCCATTCACAACACCCAGGGCACCAGTGACACTACCCAGGGCACCATTCACACTCCACAGGGCTCCATTCACACCACCCAGCATGCCATTCACACCACCCAGCATGCCATTCATACCACCCAGCATGCCATTCACACCACCCAGCACACCATTCATACCACCCAGGGCTCCATTCACACCACCCAGGGTGCCATTCACACTCCCTGGAGCCCTATCCTCACTGCCCGGAGCACCATTCACATTAGGCGCATGTGAAAGCACTCCTGTGTGCAGGTGGGGTAATTAATTACTTACAAAGACTGCCCTCAAGCATCACACTTGGTGGGGGGAAATATTTAAATAAACGAACTTCCGCGGGTTCTGTGCTAACATCTTCATAACATAAAACTTAACCATGAAAACCAATCCTAGACTTTCCTTGAAGAAGCCTGTTATTAGGAAATAGGTCAAGGAAATGAGCCGTGGATTTCATCGAGGGAGGAGAATTGCGGGAAGGGCCCTGGCCCTGCTGGCGTCATCTTTGAACTTTCTGAAACGATGGCGAGTTTCCTTCTCTTCGCACCTGTTTTGTGTATGAACGTGCAGCCGCTTCTGGGCATGGGAGGAGGTCCTGCTCTCCGCGTCTCTCAGGCTCCTCTCATCTCTCCCCAGTGGTCAACTGCTCGGACCCCGGCTCGGTGGACAACGCCGTCCGCCAGAGCATCCCTGAGAGCCTCGTCTATGGGCGGACTGTCGTCTACCACTGCAAGAAGGGCTTTTACCTGCTGGGCTCGTCCGCCTTGACCTGCACGGCCAGTGGTTTGTGGGACCGCTCCCTCCCCAAGTGCTTGGGTACGTGAGGGAGATGTGGGGTGCTGGTGCCACGGAATCCGGGAAGAAAGTCAACAGCACAGACGTTATTGTTTCTTTTTGTCACATAGTCAAATAGGTCTCTACCCCCCAAGTCCCCAGGTACAAGTTGTACTAGTCAGTAGGATGTCTTACCGATGGGCAGGAGGTCACACACTATAGCTCAAGCTGGGTTAGGGGATAAGGGTGAGGATGCTGGCTGCTCACCGCCTGGCCCCGGGGGGAAATGGACACACTGGGCCTTGTTGTCCTCATCTCTGTTCACACTGCTCGTCTCCTGCTTCACCCCGGTGGACACGGTCAGACCTGGCAGCCTCAATGCCCTCCGCCTCTCACTGCTCTCCGCGGAGACCCAGGGTTAGCAATATTGGCCGAGCTCTGGTACGGAGGGTCCGGCTAGTGACCTCCTGCCTGTGACCAGGGGGGCAGTGACTCTAGGGACTGACTCGGGTCTTGTGAGCATCTCTGGTCCAGTCAGTAGTCAACACAATAGGACAGGTGGTCCCTGGGACAGTCCTTCCCCCGGCCCACCTGGGTGTTTAAATCAGGGGGAACACACCGCTCTGAAGGGGAACACAAACCAAAAGGTAGGTCCCCACTCCGGTCCCTGGACACGCGATGGTCACTTTACCTTAGACCACGCAGTGAACAAAAGCACTGTTTAACCTGCATAGCTCCAGTTTTACCTCCTTCTCCTTGAGCAAGCATATTGTCCTCGAGCTGAACGAGGATCCCCTGGTTAGAACATGGTCTGAAAGTTAGGAAAAGGGGCATCTCCCCGGGTTTGAAAAACAGTCCAACGAGTAGCCTCTTACCACTTGCAACGGCAGCACTTCCTGCGTGTCCAGATGGATCGGGGCTGGGGTTTCCCGGCAAGTCAGCGTCCCACGCAGCCCCTTCCGACCCACGTGGGCACACATTCCCGGTTCCGGCTGTGGCCATAGGTTTGGTTTCTGGGAGAGAGAGAGGGGTCGCTGGAACACAAATGCACGGCCTCACGTGACCAGCAGTGCCCTTCAATGTCACCGTGTTAGCATTTCCATCCAACGGCGTCCGCTATCTCCGCCTCCACACCCAGGGTTTGGGCAGAGAAGGTCCTGTCTTTCCTTCTCCTGAGCATCCCCTTGAGCCCTCCGTGGCTCCCGGGGGATGCCCTGTGTCCATACCGATGCCTGTGGCCCTGCAGCTGCAGGAACCAGGTTCTCCCCAGTTCTGGGCCTCCGGGGGCTGCTCCCCGCCTGTGCAGTCAGGAGCGTGGGACCCCGTGGGCGTGGGGTGAGGCGTGGGGAGCCCCCTGCCTTCCCACGCTCCGCGGCGGTGAGGTTCTGCTGGCCTCCTCGCCTTGGTTCTTTCTCATTCCCCGGGAACTGGTCCCTTGGCGACCATGTCACTGACTCGGGTCAAATTAGCTTCCTTTCGGGACACTCTCTAGATCAGTCCGTGCTCTCCAACCACAGGCCATGTTGCTGGCCCATGACAGCATCCAGGGCCGACGTGGCCAGCTGACCGATGCCTCCCGCTGGGTGTCACGTCGGGCTGCCCGTGGCCACAGGCAGTCCCTCTCGTGGCTGTCAGTGTCTTTGAATGCTGTGCCCGGAGCTGACTGCAGGCAGCATGCAGTGTGCCCGTTGTGCACCCGACTGCGGGACTTGATCTGAAGGGAGAGAGAAATCCCTACCATCCCGTCTTAATCTGGCATCCAGAATGTGGCTTTCTGAGGGAGAATTAATGAATAATAATGGGCCCGATTTGGGGTAATTGTAGAAAGTGATTGGGATACTGACATTATTTTACAGAATAACTTGAACAAGTCAGTCGGTAATTTATCATTATTACTTTACTTAAACACGTTCTTTTATTATTACTTTGTTGTTGTTGTTGTTAATCCTCAGCCGAGGATATTTCCCCACTGCTTTTTAGAGAGAGTGGGGGGGAGGGGAGGTGGGGGAAATGAGTGAGAGAGAGAAACATTGATGTGAAAGGGACACATTGACTGGTTGCCTTCCACACCTGCCCGACTGGGGGCGGGGGAGCAAGCCCACAACCCAGGTGCGTGCCCTTGACTGGGGATTGAACCCGAGACCCAGCACTCCAACCACTGAGCTACTGGCCAGGGCCTTCCCCACTCCAAGGGCAAGTGTTGGGGTGCCTTCCTGGACTCGAGAGCTCGGGGGAGCACATTCGAGGTCTTTTCCACCGGCAGACGGTCACCTGCCTGAGACCCCGGGGAAGCAGCTCTGAGGGAGCCACGCTGGCCACAACGTGTGGGAGAGCCCTGCTGGGGTGGGAAGCCGTGAAGGGCCAACGGGCAGTGTGACCTGGGGGGACTCTCCTTCCGAAAACCTAAGTGTGAACGTGCACCCCAAACACAGCGACCCCAATCTAAGATTCCCAAAAACCCTCGCCGGCGAGCCTTTCCTGGTGTCTAACGTCCGCCGGGGGAGGGGAGCGAGTGTAGGAACCGCTTGCTCTCGCGGGCAGGGACGAGCAGGGAGGTGCCCATCATTTCATTCATCTTCCTCAGCCATATCCTGTGGGCACCCGGGCGTGCCCGCCAACGCCATCCTCACGGGGGACGTGTTCACGTTCGGGGCCACGGTCCACTACTCCTGCCAAGGGGCCCGCAGCCTGGTGGGCGACCACAGCCGCGTGTGCCAGGAGGACGGCCACTGGAGCGGGGCCCTGCCCCACTGCACAGGTGAGCGCCGGCGGCAGGGATTCGGGGTCGGGAGCAGCTGCTTTAAAAGGATGGTTAGTGGGTGTCCAGCCAACGACACCTTCATTCTGTACCAGCCCCATGTTCTTCCCTGTCTCCATGAGCGCCCAGGGGCCCGCCGTTCTGTCCCAGTGCCCAGGGGCTCGCTGGCGCCCAGTTGTCCTGCTGGTGGCTTCGGCCCCATGAGTCCCTCTCTGCTCTTTGTCCCTTTTCTGTGTTTCTTCCAAATCCTCCCACGTCTACCCTGCCTCTCTAATGGATAATCACATTGGTCTTCCCCCCAAAAAGTAACCGTCTTAATTCTTCCACGAATGTTTCTTAAATAAATAAAACGCAGGAATCAGCAACCCTGGATGCGATTCGAAGAAGCCGATCTCACATGTGCCTGACCTCCGCATCCCCACTGTGCGCAAACCCACACCCTGCGCATTTACCCCGCCCTTTCCGCGAGCCCCGCACCCTCCCAGCATGTGACACTCCCCGAATGCCCACGGCCACCGGGACCACACGTTGTGGTGTTAGTTACACACAACAGTTTATTTTTTTAATATATTTTTATTGACTTCAGAGAGGGAGAAAGAGATAGAAACATCAATGATGAGAGAGAATCATTGATTGGCTGCCCCCTGCATGCCCTACACTGGGGATCCAGCTCACAACCCAGGCATGTGCCCCGACCGGGACCAGACTGTGACCTCCTTGTTCATAGGTCGATGCTCAGCCACTGATCATGCTGGCCGAGCTGGAACAGGGTCTTAAGGTCTCCCATTTCTGTGCCAGAATGAAACCGTTCTCATGAGCTGCCAGATGCCCTATACCCGTAGCCGGGTTCAGTCCTTATATAATCACGTTGCAGTCTCTCCACCCGGCGGCCTGTGTTCCCACGTCTCACCGCCTGTGCGTGGCCACGTGTGTCTGTGCTCACAGGAAACCACCCTGGATTCTGTGGAGACCCAGGCACCCCCGCCCACGGGTCCCGGCTGGGCGACGAGTTCAAGGCCAAGAGCCTGCTGCGCTTCTCCTGTGAGGTGGGCTACCTGCTGCGCGGCTCCCCCGAGCGCACCTGCCTGCTCAACGGCTCGTGGTCCGGGCAGCAGCCGGCGTGTGAAGGTGAGTCACCGCAGCCGGGGGCGCCCGGGCTGAGAACCTCTGCCGGGAGCCGGTCCATCATTCTGTTTCAAGGGACCTGGTGTATATGGCATACTGTTCTTAATATGTTTGCTCACCTTCTTAGCACTATGTGTTTTAACCAAGGTCACCTCCCCGAGAAAGGTTGTTTCCCCAGGTAGGGATTTTCCCCTGAAGTTAGGGAGGGAATAAAACCTCTTAACTGCCAGGCGGGTAATTAATCACTTTAACTACAAACAATCATGCTTAAGTACATAATCTTTACTCCCTGGAATGGAGATAAGAAACAACCTAACCTTTGGAATAGAGATTGATAGCA